GAATAAATTAGAAAATCGGTAAATCTATTTTAAATTTAATAAATGTGTGGCACTGAAAATTTGGTGTTTGCTATAGAGCAAATATATTTTGGTAATTTATTTTTGGTTCGTAGTGACTTTTTAATTAACTTTACACTCATAATCTGTAATAGTAATAATAATAATAGTAATAATAATAATAGTAATAATAATAATAGTAGTAGCAATAATAATAATAATGTAATAATAATAATAGTGATAGTAATAATTGTAATGATTCAAGCTACGTTGTTGCGAAAATGAGAGTCCATCGATCAACATGATCACGTTTGGCTTATTTGGTACATTTCATATGCCTGATGCATACTCCTTGTCAGTCGCAGATTTTCCTTTTTCTTTCTTTCTCGGTTAACTGCACATTAGCACACTGTCTTATACACCACGTTGTACGTTAATTGCAGTTAGTACGGAGACTGAACACTTATTAACCAGCTCCTCAAAAACTGATGTGCTACTACACCTCCAATAAATATATTCGATAATGGCACAAATTTTAAGAATGGTCGATTTGCAGGTGCACATTTATGGTAATGCAGGTTCAGAACTGTAGATTTCAGTCAGTCAGTTTCGATGATCGCTTGTCCTTTCGGGTCGCGAAGGCAGGCGTATCTTATAGTGACTCCAACTTCCAAGTCCTATGCTAGTGTTTGAGTTTACGCTGAAGATGACACGAGTTTTGGGCAGAGTGGCCGAGACAATGCCTGAGGTTATTCCCGCCCGTTCCCCGGGGTCTTTGGCCGGCCGGTTTGGTAAATAATAGCTGTTTTGAATTCGTATTTAAACGCCTTGGCAAGACGTGCCCAAACCGTAGCAGCTGTTACTTCTCTGTTTGGAGAAGTAGCTGCAGTGCGCCAAAGCTCAATTAGATACCTATATTCCGGACCAGGTCAAGGCACACGTGAGCCTAGCGATTCGTATAAGAAATTCCAGTTCATCCACTTTTATCCGGGATGGAAGTTTTTTAGTCTTGGTCCACGATTGATGATAGTACGTAAGCATGGGGATAAAGATTGACTGAAACACCGAGAGCTTAGTCTTCAGACTCAGCTTTAGTCAAGTGGTTTGGCCTAGTTCACTCAGAACGTCACTGGCTACTCCAGTTCGCCATTCGACCTTTTCCTCAAATTTTCCATCACTAGTAAATACGACTCCGAGGTTCTTTAAATTCTCAACCGGCTCCACTGCTTCTCCGTTAGTCTGAAGAAAACAACGGACAGGAGAACGAGAAAGCACAAGGCTTTTCGTTTTAGATGCGTTCACACGCATGTCGGTTACTTCGCACTCGGCCCTTAACCTTTCCAGAGGGCTTGTAGATAAGGTTCAAAAGATGCTAACAAAGCAACGCAAGCAGCAATTTTCTCGTCTCGACATGTCCTCTGCTGACACACTCATCGCCTTAGCTGCGCCCGATTATTCTATCCATCTACGGCACAAACAGGAAACGGGACAGAACCTAGCCTTCGCAGAGCCAACAATGAAAGATCTTGACTTAACTCTGCTTACTTTTACGAAGCACCTTCTTTCAGTATGTAGTAAACGAATTGCTCTTAGCAGTTGGCGATCGATGCCACGCGTTTGTACAGTAATAGGCTTTCTCGAGTTTCATAAAGCACGTGTAAACCGACTAAGCGAACTCCCACGATTTCTCAACAATCTGGTGTAAGGCAAAGATCTGGTCGGATGTGCTTTGGTCTGACCTGAAGCCTCTGCTGTTCTTGTACCATAGGCAGTTTTTCCTTGGCACTTCCTTTGTAATACCTTTTTGTAGACTTTTACCTGGGTTCTCCGTAAGGTATTGCATCGATAATTAAAGCACTCCCTCTGGTCTCCCTTTTTGAACAAAGGTACTACATCCTCCGTTCTCCAGTTCACTGGTGTCTTCTCCGTACTTGTTGCAGTTATACAGACACGTGAATACGGCATCCTGCCTTGTTCACCTAAACCTTTAAGCATTTCAGGGCGGATATCTTCGATGCCGACTCTTCACGCTTTTTACCGCTTCAGCGACTTCGTCTATTAGTATCCGTTACCTACCTTTATTCAAGTTAATCTTCCTGCTGCTGTTCGGTGTTAAGGAGTTTTTCAAGGTACTCTCTATCTCCGAAGAATGTTTTCATCCTTGATAAGAAGAATTTCGAACTTGTCCTTCGGGTCGCTTAGACTGGAATCCCCTATTTGTATCTTGGAGGCGGCGGATCTTCTGCCAGAACAGTGTTTAGCGTCGGGAAATTCGGCTCCAACCGAAGGTTTCATTGCACTTAACCCATTTCCTCACAGAACTGTAAATATTTAACCATTAAAATTTTCCGACACCACTTCTGGTTCTACTAGCTGTTTAACGAATTTTGTCTAAAAATTTGAATTGGAAATCTCAAAGATTCCTAAAACAAAATTTTTTCGGATTTGCTTGATTCCATGCTCCCCTTCAACTAGTCTCTTTCGTTTGGTTTTCAGATTAGTTTCACTGGTTTAATTTTTTAAGCGAATGAAATGGTTTATTTACTGTTTAACTGTTTTTGCGACTGTTGATTGAAATGTACTTAAAGAGGATGTAAAGCGATTAAAGACGTCAGGAAATGACAAAGAATATGTTTATAAGCCATTTAAGGTCTTAGGATGAAGGTCTTGAATATTTATTTGTTTTCACTGATTTTTTGTGCTAGATATTTACGGATATATTGCTCCGCTGTTGCTGTGGATTATTTATTTTGTGTCTACGGATTATTTAGACTGGTTTCACTAAAGATTTAGTTTCCTAAACTGGTAACGTTCTGTTTAATGTACCATTTTATGGTTTTGGTGAAAAGTGTAGAAATACAGTGTTCAAATCCTTTTAATTTAGGCCGTGAAACTATCTGTCGAGTGACCGGTGGCATGAAGGTAAAGGCCGATCGGGATGAAGCATCTCCGTACGCTGCTATGCTGGCAGCGCAGGACGTTGCAGAGCGCTGCAAGGCTCTGGGCATCACTGCACTCCACATCAAGTTGCGGGCTACCGGCGGAACGCGCACGAAGACACCGGGTCCCGGTGCTCAGTCTGCTCTCAGAGCACTCGCTCGATCTGGCATGAAAATAGGACGCATCGAAGACGTGACACCAATACCGTCAGACAGTACGAGACGCAAGGGTGGACGACGTGGCAGAAGATTGTAGAACTGGTTGAACTTTCGTTTCGCGATGTGTAAAAGGTTCTCAGAAAAGTTAAAATATTTGGAAATTTGAATGTTGTTCTCTCAGTCTATTAGGACATGTCAAGTTGTTCTTTTCCTTAAAGCGTAAAGGTATAAACTGTTTCATGCCAACAAATTTGGGGGCTTCGTAAAAGCGAAGAGTTTCTAGCATTTGAAATTAAGTTAAGAACAACTAAAGGTTGGCGAAAAGCAATGGAACAAGGATGGAGTCAAAAAATGTAGGGCTTTAAAGCTCGAAATTTTAGGGCGATGTTTGACAGTTTGGCCTTTCAATTTTCAGTTCATAATATGCCAGCAACATAAACCATAATAAAATTACGTTTTTACCATTACATATTCTTAGTTGGTGATTGCTGTTACGCGATTCACAATTGTGGAGTAGAGAATGCTACTTGCTAGTCAGGGTGACAATTGTTTTGAAACGCATAAGGACTGCTAATGCAACTAAGGATTACGGTGACAGAAAGAAATTTGAAAGTTATGAAAGAACGTTTGTTCATTATATTCATGGTTATTTAGGCGCCTGTGGTATGATGTAAACAAACATCGAGCATCGCATACAGAACGGTTAATGTATCGTGAAGTGATAAATCGGTTTTCAGGTGAGATTACAAGTACTGATCGAATTGCTAGTGTTAAAGCAAGCTTTATGGATAAAGACGGTAAATACGCTATGTCATTCGTTTCATGCTGTTCGGTAGGATGTGGGATAGATGGACATAAATGTTATACAGCTATAATTCAAACAGAAATTTATTTTATCTTTTCTTATGGACTTCGTTTGTTTGCCGAAAAAAATCAAGTACCTTTGACCGAAGCTCAAGGATGTAGACAAACAGAAAATTTTATTACTATCAAGCTATAAAATGTGCGAAGCGTCTAACAGTTGGTAGAATGAAACAGTTGGTGGTGTAGAGATTTGAAAGACTTAACTGCTGATGATAATGGTTAGAAGACGTTAGGAATCTACGACACTGATGCAATTTAATTCATTACATAAACGCTTTTAAAACAGAAATTTATTGCCGGTCTGAATCCACGATGAAACATCTTCTTTCAATGACATGATTGTGCATATGTCATCTATGGCAAGTCTGACGCTTACAGATGATCTGCAGTATAAAGTCTGATTCGTGAATTACGCCAACTCCTTAATTTGCTTCCAAGGCGAATGATTTGAAAGTTTACACACAATCGAAGAATATAACTGACAACATTCATCGAACATATATTCATGATCTTGACTATCTTAATACGCACTTTATGCATGTCATTTTGAATACATATGTGCTGTTAGCAAAACAGACTCAAATATTGACTGTCTCTGACCGTTGTAGTAGTACAATGACTGATTGATCGATGTGAGGTTATTGGCGTCCATTATGTACTGCGTCATGCGTCAAGTCCCAAATTTTTCATGTCACCTGTAAGTTTAAATTTCAGCCAATGACTATGATTCGAAAATTTTGCGACGAGCTCAAAAGTGATTACCTCATGCTTCTCTTCTATGTTATGTAATTGTCGTTTAATTGGTCGGTCATACCATTGTTTACAACTATTTAACCCTTTACTCATAACTTTTAGTTTAATTGTCATTCATTTAACTCTTATATTTTTGGTTTAATTATTTAGAAAAGTAAAACTTCGCTGATCTGTTGGCTAGATATCTGAATACGCAGTCGACCGAAATATATGTAAATTTATATAATCTGAGAAAGTACTATTCTAACCTGCAAATCACGCAAGAATCCCGCTTGTTTAAAAGTTCTTACGATGCTGCGCTTTCGGCGTTACGGGGTTAAGACATCGACATGTTTAGTGTAGAATTAAAGTACTGGTGGAGTGGGGGGTCTTACAATTTTCAAAATTAGTTATATAATTGTGATAGTAAATGTTCGTAGTACTGCCGCAGACAGTCTCGAATCTCTATCACCGAACATGCGATCCAGTGCACATGCTTCGACGGCTGAACAGACCCAGTCCGCAGAAGCGCGTAGATTTTTGCCCTTTGAACATTTATCCATGTAGACGTGAGCATCGATGGTCGTAAAAATAGGGCGGTTTCGCAACAGCGCGCGCGTTTACTACAGATTTGCAGGATATGTAGCTGGTCATCAATTTTGTAGCTACTTATTGCATGTAGTGCAGTCGTTCTAGTTCAGTCGTTCGTACGTGACTGTTTGTTGGCATATGAGGGCGATGTTGACTGTGGCTGGTTCGTTGGTCGTTTAACATTCAGAAACATCCGTAGCCGACGATTTTATATTGTGAACAGAGCGTAATACGAGACCTTTTCCGTCGTTAGATACTCCCGTCTATTACACGTCTCGGACGATTTTAAGGATTCTAATTTCGCTCGAGTTGGCTGTAGACGATCGCTTCCTTCTTTTAGGCCTTCAGAATGAACCGTTTAAAAAAGATATTGGCCTGAGCAGTTTGAGGTCGACAA